CTCTATTGGAGTGGCGGTGTGCTCCGAATGCTTCATGGATGTGTCCTGATTCCAACATGGTGAAAAGGAGTTGACCTAGAAAGAGCAAACTCTCAAGTTAGGTAGTTCTCTCTGGATGCTTCATGGACGTATCCTGATCCCAACATGATAAAGTAGAGAATGAAAGAATCCTGGTTGGTAAGAGTGGACGGATGATGAATGATGATCATTTGAGGAGAGGCTCGGTGGTCCTTTGTTCAAGGAAAGGATTGTTGGGTATGTGACCAAAGTCCCACATTGGTTAGAAATGGAGAGGATCATGAGTTATATAAGGATAGACAAATATCTCCATTAGTATGAGGCTTTTTGGGTATAGTCTAAGAGCAAATCTATAAGGGTTTAGACCCAAAATGGACATTATAAAGTGGTGTCTATAGTTCTTGTATTATTAATCTTTAAAAATCTAATTTTTAATATTTTCCCTAGCTAGAACACAAAAGGAATATTTTAAAACCTTAATGAGCCAATCTTTAGAGTAAACAAGTTGTATGCAGTTGAAAATAGTTCGTCTTAGATTTGATTTGATAGATTGTTTTTTGATTAATAGTACCACTTCATTATCATTGAAGATTAAAAATCTTTTAAAAGGATGATCCGATGGCGCTTTGGATTATCAACTTAATTAAGAATAATCCTGTTGTAAAAAACTTGTATATATGAAACTACTCTCATGTGTGGTGTGATCCAGTAAAAGAAGAACCTTTCCCATACACTTAATTCGTTGTCATTCTAGAATTTTCCACTTTAAGTGAAAATATCAAGTTGGCAAAAATTAAAAAAAAAAAGTCAATAGCGAGCTTGAATATTTTAACCTAAAAACTAAAAACAAATCAAATCAAACTTAACTTTCCATTATTTTTTTATGAAATTATTAAAGATAACGATTAATTGCTTTCATTTCTTTTACCCTGCATAGACTTGAGCTTTAACAACTTAACGGGTCGAATACCAGATTCCATGAAAAACCTGAATTTTACTAAGATGTATGCAAAAGAACTCGATCAGTCCATCTTATAATAAGTTCGTTTTGCCACTCTATTAAAAAACAAGTGATGGTTTTCATATCGTTTTGTTTTGTTCAGGTTTCTCACGAGAAATATGCTTAGTGGCACACTACCTCCCTGGCTTCCTCATAAAATTGAGGACAAGGCGTATGTTATGGCTTTGTGCTCTTTGCTCAGATTGGTTGTTTTCCCTTTTGTAGAATGCCTCAATAAAATCTTGATATGTTTATTTGAAACAAAAAATGTTGCAGGGACTTGTCATATAATGATTTTGAAATTCCAATTGATGGTCCGAAGAAAGGAGAAGGAAAGCTGAACATGTAATAACGGCAACTTCATTTTCCTCTTCCTTTTGTTTCACTTGCAAGGATATTATTGTCTATGAAATCCCAACTTCTGATCATTTTCTATCATGTGCACCAACTGCTTGCATGTTGTTCCTACTCAAGCAGTCTACCAACCAGGTATGGTAATATCCTCCATATGGTGCAATTAATGTAGAACCATCAACGAGGTATGGTAATATCCTCCATATGGTGCACTTAATTTAGAACAAATGATCCTGAGCTGTTTCTTACAAATTTTGTTTCTTATTTCTAGGAATTCTGTACGCGAGTTGAAAGATAAATGTGGGGGAAATCCAAAGTGTAAGTACTATTGAGAAGCTCTTAATTTTGCGCAGGACAGAGTTTCTGTACTGATTATCATTTTTTGCAGACGATTCCTTATATATACATTGTGGAGGAGGAGAGACAGAAGTTGATGGGAAAGTGTTTGAAGCAGACAGTACAACATTAAATTACCATTTAGCTCAAAGAAAAAATTGGGCTTATTCTTGTTCTGGAGACTTCGCATCGAAAACTTACGATTCCAGTGATTACATAAAAAACGTGGAATGTGGAGTTTGTGATTCTGCTGGGACACAGTTATACAATTCAAGTCGCCTCTGCCCTCTTTCTCTGACATGTTACGGCTTCTGTTTATTTAAAGGAAATTACACTCTGAAACTTTACTTCGCTGAAACTGTGTACCAAAGTGATGAAGATTATTCCAATTTAGGGAAACGTGTTTTACTTTGTTTTCAATGTAGTCGTTCTTTTTCTATCTTTTTTGCTAACTTTGTTTTCAATGTAGTCGTTCTTAGTGGCAACGTTGTGGCAGCAGTGTTGGTGGTGGAATAAAGATAGTCGTTGTAGTGGCTTTTTTCCTCTCTCTTTTACTTTTCCCCTCTTTTCCTCCCTGTTTCCCACAAATCTCCCCCTGTATTTATAGGAGGCCAGGGGAGAGGGTCACCATACCTTGTCCAAGTGCAGGGCATGGTGGCTAGGGTATGGGTCATCTTTCTTTTTTATTATGCTGGCATGGGCTTATGAGTATGAGTTTTGTTAGGTTTGTGCAAGTGGGGGGAAGAGAGAGCAGGAAAAAACATTCAAAATTCTTCTTTTTCCTTATCTCTATATTTGTAAGGAAGAATAAGATACATAATGCTGTTTCATATAACATTATGTAAATGTTTTTTAATAGTGCATGAAATGAATTTGAGGAATAAACAAAAAAAAGGGCTATGAAAACTTCTTATTTAATAAAAATATTTAAAAAGCTTAAAGAATTTTGAAAATTAATTTTTAAAAAATATGTTTTTTCATAATACTAATGAAATAAAAATTTGAAAACTTTAAGTCACAAAAATTCTTAGAATATTTAGGAAATATAAAAAATCCATATGGGTATTAATTGGGCAAAGCCACACACTCATTTGTATGCTAAAAAATGAAAGCGAGAGAAGTTATATTCACACTAGGTTTGGATCCTAGTCAAACTTGCTTAAAATCCATCTCAATCTCAATTAGACAGGAGGATTCCTGATATCTGTTGAGTGATGATGTTTTCATCTCTAAATTTTATGAGGTTTTTTGGTAACATAATATTAGTTCCCTATCTCTAATTGCTTTCCAAAATTGGTCCCTAATCTAGTTATAATTTTCAACTATTAAGGGCTTACGCCGGCCAATATCATCCCAATGTGGAGATAAATAGTGTCTATAATTCTTACAAGTGGTATCAGAGCCATGCCCCCGAGTTAGCCATGATGGATGAATCCTCGAAATGCCGAACAAAAGGTGGTGGACCCTAATTAGATCACGATGTAATCCATGGATCAGCTCTATTGGATTGGCGGTGTGCTCCGAATGCTTCATGGATGTGTCCTGATTCCAACATGGTGAAAAGGAGTTGACCTAGAAAGAGCAAACTCTCAAGTTAGGTAGTTCTCTCTGGATGCTTCATGGACGTATCCTGATCCCAACATGATAAAGTAGAGAATGAAAGAATCCTGGTTGGTAAGAGTGGACGGATGATGAATGATGATCATTTGAGGAGAGGCTCGGTGGTCCTTTGTTCAAGGAAAGGATTGTTGGGTATGTGACCAAAGTCCCACATTGGTTAGAAATGGAGAGGATCATGAGTTATATAAGGATAGACAAATATCTCCATTAGTATGAGGCTTTTTGGGTATAGTCTAAGAGCAAATCTATAAGGGTTTAGACCCAAAATGGACATTATAAAGTGGTGTCTATAGTTCTTGTATTATTAATCTTTAAAAATCTAATTTTTAATATTTTCCCTAGCTAGAACACAAAAGGAATATTTTAAAACCTTAATGAGCCAATCTTTAGAGTAAACAAGTTGTATGCAGTTGAAAATAGTTCGTCTTAGATTTGATTTGATAGATTGTTTTTTGATTAATAGTACCACTTCATTATCATTGAAGATTAAAAATCTTTTAAAAGGATGATCCGATGGCGCTTTGGATTATCAACTTAATTAAGAATAATCCTGTTGTAAAAAACTTGTATATATGAAACTACTCTCATGTGTGGTGTGATCCAGTAAAAGAAGAACCTTTCCCATACACTTAATTCGTTGTCATTCTAGAATTTTCCACTTTAAGTGAAAATATCAAGTTGGCAAAAATTAAAAAAAAAAAGTCAATAGCGAGCTTGAATATTTTAACCTAAAAACTAAAAACAAATCAAATCAAACTTAACTTTCCATTATTTTTTTATGAAATTATTAAAGATAACGATTAATTGCTTTCATTTCTTTTACCCTGCATAGACTTGAGCTTTAACAACTTAACGGGTCGAATACCAGATTCCATGAAAAACCTGAATTTTACTAAGATGTATGCAAAAGAACTCGATCAGTCCATCTTATAATAAGGTCGTTTTGCCACTCTATTAAAAAACAAGTGATGGTTTTCATATCGTTTTGTTTTGTTCAGGTTTCTCACGAGAAATATGCTTAGTGGCACACTACCTCCCTGGCTTCCTCATAAAATTGAGGACAAGGCGTATGTTATGGCTTTGTGCTCTTTGCTCAGATTGGTTGTTTTCCCTTTTGTAGAATGCCTCAATAAAATCTTGATATGTTTATTTGAAACAAAAAATGTTGCAGGGACTTGTCATATAATGATTTTGAAATTCCAAATGATGGTCCGAAGAAAGGAGAAGGAAAGCTGAACATGTAATAACGGCAACTTCATTTTCCTCTTCCTTTTGTTTCACTTGCAAGGATATTATTGTCTATGAAATCCCAACTTCTGATCATTTTCTATCATGTGCACCAACTGCTTGCATGTTGTTCCTACTCAAGCAGTCTACCAACCAGGTATGGTAATATCCTCCATATGGTGCAATTAATGTAGAACAAATAATCCTGAGCTATTTCTTACAAATGTTGTTTGCTATTTCTAGGAATTCTATGCGTGATACAGATAAATGTCGGCGAAAACCGAAGTGTAAGTTCTGTTGAGAAGCTCTATAATTTTGCGCAGGACAGATTTCCTGTACTGATTATCATTTTTTGCAGACGATTCCATATATATAAATTGTGGAGGAGGAGACACAGTTATTGATGGGAAAGTGTTCGAAGCAGACGATTCAACATCAAATTACTATATAGCACCAAAAGAAAATTGGGCTTATTCTTGTTCTGGAGACTTTGGTTCGGAAAATAACGGTTCCAGTCATTACATAAAAAACGGAATTTGTGGTTCTGCTGAGACACAGTTATACAATTCAAGTCGCCTCTGCCCTCTTTCTCTGACATATTATGGCTTCTGTTTATTTAAAGGAAATTACACTGTGACACTTTACTTCGCTGAAACTGTTTACCAAAGTGATGAAGATTATTCGAATTTAGGGAAACGTGTTTTTGATGTATATATACAGGTAACCGCTATATTTTTCTGTAGCTTCTTTCAATAATTCCCATCGTTCAACATCCACTGTTTGATACAGGGGCAGAGAGAACTAAAAGACTTCAACATAAAAGAAATGGCCAACAGCACCAGTAAGACATGGACTGAAAGTTTCACAGCATATGTAGGAGATGATCATCTATTGAATATCCACTTTTTCTGGGCTGGAAAAGGATCTTTCCAGGTGCCAGGTTTTTCCTATTCAAGTACTGCTGCCCTGTCTCTGAATGGACCCCTTGTGTCAGGCATTTCCGTAACTGCTAGTAAGAATTGCGTGCTCTTAATTTTGTTGAGCAAAGATTTCTGCTACCCTTCATCTGGATAAATAATTTTTTTCTTTCTGTCTTCCACTATTTGTATCCAGACTTCAAAGTTGGCACGGGACTATCTCCTTCACAAATTGCAGGGATTACTGCAGGTTCAGTATTTGCTCCTCTACTTCTGTTGGCTTTCATGTGGAAAATGGGCTGGCTGCGGAAAAGCGAG